CTTTCTGCACCTTCCAGGACCTTTCTGAACCTTCTGGGAAATTCCGGGAATTTCTGGGAATTTTCGGGAATTTTTCTGGAATTTTCTGGATTTTTTTATGCATCTTTCAGGACCTTTCTGGGCTCTTTTTGGGGCTATTTCTGCACCTTTCAGAATATTTCTGCACCTTCCAGGACCTTTATGCACCTTCCAGGACCTTTGTGAACCTTCTGGAACCTTCCGGGAATTTCTGGGAATTTTTCGGGAATTTTTCTGGAATTTTCGAGGCTTTTTTATGCATCTTTCAGGACCTGTCTGGGCTCTTTTTGGGGCTTTTTCTGCACCTTCCAGGACCTTTCCCTTGGGACCTTTTGGGACCCCCAAAATCTCCCAAATCCCCCCCAAATTTTCTCTGAAATTCCCCCCAAAAAACAAAATTTTACCAAATTCCCCCAAAATCCCCCCAAACCCCCTCAAATCCCTCAAATTTCCCCCAAAATTCCGGAATTCTCCCAAAACCCCCCAAATTCCCCTTAAAGTTCCCCCAAAATTCCTCCCAAATTTCTTCAAATTTTCCCAAAATCCCCCAAATTCCTCCCAAAATTTCCCAAAACCTCCCAAATCTTCGCTGATTTTCCCAGATTTTCCCTCAAATCCCCCAAATTCAGCCCGAATTTCCCCCAAATTCCTCCCAAATTTCCCCCAAAATCCCCCAAATTTTCCCGAATTTTTCCCAAAATCCCCCAAATTTTTGCAGATTTCCCCCGATTTTTCCCAAAATCACCAAAATTTCCCCGATTTTTCCCAAAATCCCCCAAATTTCCCGATTTTCCCCCAAAATCCCCCAAATTTTCCCAGATTTTTTTTCCCCCAAATCCCCCAAAATTTCCTGAATTATTTTTCCCCAAAATCCCCCAAATTTTCCCGTATTTCTTTTCCCCAAAATCCCCCAAATTTTCCCGAATTTTTTCCCCAAAATTCCCCAAATTTTCCCGGATTTTTTTCCCCAAAATCCCCCAAATTTTCCCGGATTTTTTCCCCAAAATCCCCCAAATTTTGCCCGAATTTCCAGGTATTACCGCTTCAACGAGGCGCTGGGGGCCGTGGACCCCGAGTACCCCAAGAGCATCGAGGTCTGGGGGGTCCCCCCGGGCCCCCGCGGAGCCTTCATGGGCCCCGACGAGGGTGAGACCCCAAAAATGCCCCAATTCACCCCAAAATCCCCCAATTCACCCCAAAATCCCCGAGTTTAACCCAAAATCCCCGAGTTTAACCCAAAAATACCCCAATTCACCCCAAAATCCCCGAGTTTACCCCAAAAATCCCCGAATTTACCCAAAAAATCCCCAAATTCACCCCAAAATCCCCGAGTTTAACCCAGAATCCTCGAATTTACCCAAAAATCCCCGAATTCACCCCAAAATCCCCAAATTTACCCCAAAATCCCCGAGTTTAACCCAAAATCCCCGAATTTACCCAAAAATCCCTAAATTCACCCCAAAATCCCAGAGTTTACCCCAAAATCCCAGAGTTTAACCCAAAAACCCCGAGTTTACCCCAGAAATCCCCAAATTCACCCCAAAATCCCCAAATTTACCCCAAAATCCCCGAATTTACCCCAAAAATCCCCAAATTTACCCCAAAATCCCCGAATTTACCGCAAAAATCCCCGAATTTACCGCAAAAACCCCGAATTTACCCCAAAATCCCCAAATTTACCACAAAATCCCCAAATTCACCCCGAAATCCCCCAATTCACCCCAGAATCTCCAAATTCACCCCAAAATCCCCAAATTTACCCCAAAAATCCCCAAATTTACCCCAAAATCCCCAAATTTACCCCAAAAATACCCAAATTTACCCCAAAATCCCCGAGTTTAACCCAAAATCCCCCAATTTACCCCAAAATCCCCGAATTTACCCCAAAAATCCCCGAATTCACCCCGAAATCCCCCAATTCACCCCAGAATCTCCAAATTCACCCCAAAATCCCAGAGTTTAACCCAAAATCCCCGAATTTACCCCAAAAATCCCCAAAATCCCCTCCCAGTCCCTCCCAGT